CTGCTGCTGCTGCTGCTGCTGCTGCTGCTGCTGGTGCTGCTGGTGCTGGTGGTGATTCTGCTGCTGCTGCTCCAGTTAGAGGCTCTGTCGCAGCAGCTAAGACACGTGCTGCTGCTGCTGCAGGTTGTTTGCTTCTGCAGCAGCAGCAACTGCAACAGCAACAAAAGCAGCAACTCCTGCAGCAGCAGCAGCAGCAGCAGCAGCAGCAGCAGCAGCAAGTGTATTTGCTGCCGCTGACAGAAGCAGAGGCCTTCGTCTCCTATCGCCCGCAGGACCCAGGAGACGCCCTCAGCCTTGCAGCAGATATATGCAGCTGCTGAGCAGCAGCAGCAGCAGCAGCAGCAGCAGCAGCAAGAGCAGCAAGACCCCGTTGTTTCTGTATTATGCTGCAGCAGCAGCAGCAGCAGCAGCAGCAGCAGCAGCAGCGGAATGGTTTGGTTGCCTGTGCTGACGACAGCACCAGCACTTTTTGTATCTCCTGGGGGAGTTGTACATACTTTTGCATAGCAGCAGCAGCAGCAGCAGCAGCAGCAGCTGCTGCTGCTGCAGCAGCAGCAGCAGCAACTGCAGCAGCAAGAGGGAGAAATGTATATTGGCTACAGCATATTTGCACAGCTCATTGATCGGGTGTACGTACACCGCAGCAACAGCAGAAACTGCAGCAACAGCAGCAGCAGCAGCAGCAGCAACGGAAGCAGCAGCAGCAGCAGCAGCAGCAGCAGCAGCAGCAGCGGCTTGAATTTTGTGGTGATTTTCGTTCTATTTGTTTTCGCCCGTTACCTGTGCAGTAGGGGAGCAGCAGCATTGCAGCAGAAACACAGCAGCAGCAGCAGCAGCAGCAGCAGCAGCAGTGCAGCAGCAGCAGCAGCAGCAGCAGCAGCAATGCAGCAGCAGCAGCAGCAGCAACCGCTGCCCGCGTTGGCTGTTACTCCCGTTGCAGTCATTTGGGTATATTTGAGGTGTACGTACAACTCAATTCAGCAGCAGCAGCAGCAGCAGCAGCAGCAGCAAAGCAGCAGCAGCAATACAGCAGCAGCAGCAGCAGCAGCAGCAGCAGCAGCAGCAGTGCACAATGGTGATGGTGTCAGTGAATTTGATTTTCTCGCAGCGTTTGTTTGATGCGTGACTTTGTGGAGGGTT